CATATCTGCATAAGGCTAAGCTCTGCCTTCCATTTGCATGAGACTAAGCCCTGTCTCCAATCTTTGCATGATAAGCCCTGCCTCCATATCTGCATAAGGCTAAGCTCTACCTTCCACCTGCATGGGACTAAGCCATGTCTCGCATCCTTCATGAGACTAAGCCCCGTCTCCAATCTTGCATGAGACTAAGTCCTGCCTCCATATCTGCATAAGGCTAAGCTTTGCCTTCCATCTGCATGGGACTAAGCCCTGTCCCGCATCTTGCATGAGACTAAGCTCTGTCTCCAGTTTTGCATAAGGCTAAGCACTACCTTCTCATGGGACTAAGCATTGTCCCTCCTTGCATAAATGTCGCTCTATTCTGGCACTATCTATTTGCTCGTCGTTCGGGCTAAGCTCTGCCCTCAACCTCACAAGACTAAGCCTTGTCTTGTTGACTTTAGCATCATATTATTACATCTTATGGGCTGAAATATCACCAACTTGTCCAAAGGCGTCATTGTCTAAAGGCATCATCCTCATAGCCGAAAGACACCATGCCATGGCCTGAGGATCTCTCAAAATTTGCATATCATTATTCAAAGGCGTCATGTTTCGGAGGCACCATCTTCATGGCCCGAGAACATCATTTCATGGCCTGCGAAGCCATCACTGAATAATTTGGCCCAATCTCCCTAGGCCCAAGTCTGATATGCTAACCCAATACCCCCGTCCAATCCTGACCATTGATCATTTTTTATCAACGGTCCACAACCCACCTTACCATAATTAACCTAAACGACCCCCCCCCAAACCCTCTCATTCTCTCCCTCACACGCCGTCATCATCTCCCTCTTCTCTCAAAACTCTCAAACCCTAGTTCTCAAGCGCCGCCACCGACGTATACCTCCACCCCATGAGGTTTCCATGGCTTCTCCGACCAGCCCTAGCCTTCTACACGCTATGGCTCCTTGATTTCTTGGATCCTTGAGAAGATCTCAGAGAACCTAGTAGGTTTTGGTTTGAAACTTTGCTTGTTAGCCTGTCTCAGACCATTGTTCGACCATGAGTAAGAGATTTCTCTTTATTTTGTTACGAATCTATGGTTTCTTAACCTATGCTCTCATCTCTGTTATGTTTTCTAAAAAACCTAGTCTATTACCTTCGATCATTTCCAGATCTGTATAGATCTGAGATGAATCGAGCACTATTACATGTTATTCTCTGAAAATTCCTGGTTTTTAATCGACTATTCTTGCTTTTCCCCAAGACTAGGGTTCATTACGAGTTGTTTTTCAAAGGTCTTCTGACTTCTAAATGTTTAATAGATTCTCTTTTCATCTTCTTGACCGATTTTTGCAAGAGTACTCGAACCCTAGTTGACCCTATGTAATATACTGATCCTTTCCAATCTTTCCTTCGATTTTGGGTCTTTCCGTGTTACCAATCGTATTAATTTGCTCTGTATTTTCTGACTTACATATTTTCTTTGTTAAATCCAGTATTTTGTGGTTTTGCCCTAATTAATCTCTGTTAGGATTTGAACCTGCTTTTCCGACTAAGTTCTATGTTTCTGCGAGGTTTTACTTAGTCTGATTTCTATTTATGGAAGTCGAGTAATTCTTTCCGGAAATCAGTATCCATTTGAAAAGTCTTGCTGATTGCTTTACTCTGTTAAAGATTTGTATGCATAGACTTTATTTGTTTCCTTGTTTGTAACTTTAATTGGTCATCTCTACCTTAATTACTTGCCCGTATAACTTTGGGATTCTTACTGATTCTTTATTTGGTATGGTCTGGTCTCCTTTGCCTTAATTAAACCCCTGTTGTTACCGTTAATCAATTACCCCTAATTAAATGGTCTATTCCAGACTCCCTCATGTTAATTGATTCTGCGACCCTATGATTGCCCTTAATTGACTAATTTCTGATTCTTTTACCTTATTTGTGCTACTCTTGAACTGCTATATAATCACTCTTATTTTACCTCTCAAGGGACGAACACTAAGTTCAGAACACACACTCATACTCAAACTCTCTCTTCTTTCTCTGCTGCTTGTGATAATTATTGGTCTAGCTGGCTGAAAGTCAGGGCTAGACATTGGAACTACACCTGTTTTACACTCTGCACTTTCTTCTTTTAACTGGTATGTCTCTAGTTAAATTTTGAAACTCAAACTCCATGTGTTCCGTTCCTGCACTAGTTCAATTGGCTATGTTATTCAATTTGTTTTCGTGTTTACTGCTTTATTCAGCATGTCTAAATTCTGCCTTCTCTTGTTCAATGTGTAATCAGCATGTCTAAACTTCACTTGGCTCTTTGATACTTGTCCAGCCTGTTTACTTAGTCCCTGCATAACCCCCCCCCCAACTGGTGGACAATGTTAGTTACCTAGTCTCCTAATGCATTCGATTGGCCCTAATTGCATGTCCAATCCTGTCCAACACACCCTTGTCTTCAATATGATTCTGCTACATTCTTTCTCTATGCTTTAACTATCTATTACCATGACTGACTTGTTCAGTGGATTCCTATTTGTTCTGTGCATTTGTTGTCTCAAATGTTTCCCTGTTTATGTGGTTTCAACTTTATATGTTCCCAATCCCCTTCACCCCTGTTTGTAAATCTGCTTGTTAAGTGTCTGTGAATCTGGGTATTCTATGATTAATTGGTTGTTTGCTGAATATGCTTTCCTCAAAAACTGATTTCAAAACTGTTTCTTCTACTCTTCTCAAAACCGGTCACTCCTAGCATCTTTTTAAAACTGTTTTTCAATTTCTAAATCTTTTCACTTCTAAAATTGTCTCTACACTGTTTTACTAAGTCTTTCAAAACTATGTCAATCACTCTCACTTTACTCTTAGACTATTAGGTTCTGCCCCTCCGGTGTGTGTACTGCTTAGGGATCCTTGAGATCCCTCTGAACTCTGGCACACCAGGGCTGGCCCTTCCACACTGCACATAACCAACCCTCTATGTGAGAAAGGTCTTGGTGTGAGCACTGCCCGGGATCCTTGAGGTCCTTAGGGAACTCTGACACACCAAGACACACTATTGGCTGTGAGATCTTTGGCTTCTGAGACTGTATTGAAGGCCTGGCATTCCCAGGTTTACCTTGGGCCTGATTTAGGCTCCCTATAGTATAGATTCATTTACTTATGTAATTCATTTGATCCTGGTCTGCAATAATATTCTTTGTAAACAGATATTGGGGTGATTAGTAAAAAGGGGAGGGTTCCTATATGATTTTTATGGGAAACCGGGTAGAAATCCTGCTTTAGGTTTACATTATGATTCGCAATAGAAATCATGCTTTAGGACTATGTTGTGCTTATCTGCAAATTGGAATCATGCCTTAGGTTTGTGTTGTTTGCATTAGAAATCCTACCTTAGGATACTCACGTTTATTACCTTTGCATATTAGAAAACATGTTATAGTTCATCACTTCTTTCACTGATTCTGCATAAGTGTTATCACCTGGAAATCCCGTCACTAAACTACTGCTGTAATCATGCTTAATTAAATGACCATCTCTCTCTGTGCATTAGAAATCCTGCCTTAGGAATCTGTGTGCATTTGCTCTAAATCGTATCTACGTCGCTTAAATGAATGAAAAGGTTTTAAAACAGTCCAACACATAAATATCATGTTCTAGTATAAACATACATGAAATCAATTTTGTAACATTAATCGCCTAGATCAGCATGTCTATAGGACTGAATAACTTCAAATTGTTTTAAATAGTTCCCAGAGTTATGATGGCATACAGACCTGCGCCTAGGCAAGCCTTAGGTAACTAATATTCTAAATAACTGTGAAATTATGCTCTGCTTGTTTGTAAAATTGTCCAGGTTTAACAGGCCTTAAAATCAGTTTCGTTTCGTTTAAAACAAATGCTGCATATTCTATGTTTATGATGCTCATCTAGATATCATGTTCTAGGGCCTTCTGAAGTTCTTTAAGATCAGCTGTTTGAGACGTGCTACTTATTTGCTTATGTGTGGAGGTAAATATGAGCCCCTTAACTGATTCTCTATTTGATAATCCTATCTGTTCTTTGTTGTCGCTTAGATTTTACCCTTTAGACACCTTAAGAAAGTCTAGAACTGCCTATAATTAGAGGTCCTAAACACCTCCAGGACCACAAGGAAGGGACGGGTAAAGCACGCTTAGAGTTCGTTAAATTAAACTCGCTTATGTAACCACTAAGGGGAGGGTAATGGGTAGTGAAAGGATATGATGTCCTGTGCGCTAATGCCACGTGTAACCCCTCTATTTGAGGAAGGCTTACCGGGTATTGTATAGATGTGATCCTATAGGCTAAACAACTTAGGACTTCCCTTCCTTAATTTACATATGTGTGCTTAGACTGTCTAAACTGCCTTGATTACATATGTGTGCTTAGACTACATAGACTTCCTTTATTTACAAATGTGTGCTTAGACTGCTTGCCTGTTAAATGACTAATTTACATAACTGAGTTCGATCGGACACACCGTTGTGGACCGCGAGGGGTGCCTAACACCTTCCCCTCAAGGTTATTTCGAGCCCTTACCGTAATCTCTGGTAATGCAAACTAGTTACATGAGTTAATTGCTCTAGGTACCCTAACGCACCTTAATCCGTTAGGTGGAGACTCTTCAAATACCCAATTCTCAAAAGGAAACGAGTTGTTCCCAATGAATGTCAAAACCCGGACTCCGCGAGGAAAAAGGGGGCGCGACATCCATTGCTCAAGAAACTCTTAAAAGCTTTAGTTCTAGTTGCTGTTTTGCTGCCCAGTAATTCTTGGTAAAACTCCACAAACATTCTTGCTATGTCTTTTGGCTCTGTGTGTATTACATCTGAAGCATCTTTCAGTTGTGTAATGTACTGTTGTAATCTCCTATGTTTAATAACAGAGACGAAGTACTTAGAATTATCATCTCCCAGCTGATTCCATGTTGCTTTGCTTCTTTGTTGCAAGAATCCTTCTGCTAGATATAATGATCTTTTAAACTTCTGATACTGTTCCTTCTCCTATGCTTGCAAGTTTTGATCCATGGAATTAGCCTGCAATGCTTTCTGTATTTGCTCTAGTTTAGTTCTATCCTCCTCAACTTCGGTTAGACTGTTTCTGAAGTACTGCTTGTTGAGCTCCTTTAGATTCCTCTTTAATGACTTCAGCTTCTTAACTACTTGTAGCATAGCACATCCTGTCTCTACATTCTGCCAAGTTGTTGTCACTACCTCCAAAAACTTAGGGTGAGTTTCAACAGATGCTACAATACGTTAAGGGTTTGCTAATCCTTCCAGGTGCATTAAGTATTTCCACTTTGATTGGAGAGTGGTCACTAATGCCTGCTGGCATGTAGTTGGCTGTGTATGCAGGCATCTGGAGTAGCCATTCATTATTGATAAAGGACCAATCTATCTTAGAGAGCACCCTTTGTCCCCTATGACTGTCACTCCATGTGTATCCTCTTCCTTTAGGAGGCAATTCCAACAATCCACAAGACTCCACACAGTCTTGAAACTCCATGACTTTATTCACTATGACTGGGTTGCCCTCAATCCTGTCATCCATGTTCACCGCTGCATTAAAATCTCCCATAGTGATCCATGGTCCATTGCAGCTGCTATTTATATCATTAAGATAGTGACATAATGCTCTCCTATCCTCTTTGACATTATTTGCATATACCATTGTTAAAGTAAATGTTATATTCTTGGTTGTCACCCTACAAGTTATTGCTTGTGCATTACTTGCGATTTGGTTAACCTGAAAGAGATCTGGCCTCCAAGTTAACCAAATCCTCCCATTATAATGGTTCTCAATATTGGTGACAAACTTCCAACCTCCAAACAATTTGCCTGCAACCTGCTCAATCCTATTTTTTTTATTTTTGTTTCTACCATTCCTACTTCCTCTTTCCTACAAAGGATTTGAACCTCTCTTTGCTTATTTGGGCCATTTAGGCCCCTTACATTCCAACATAACATGCTATCCATGGCCTGAGAGAGGTATAGTACTCCCTCCCTCATTTCTAACTTTACGGGCTCCCTGTCCTCCATTGCTATTTCCTGCGCATTCTAGTACTTGGAATGCATTTTTGTTCTGATCTTTTCCTCCATGGTTTAGTTGTTTCTTGCTTGGGTTTCAGGGGAGTAATCCATGCACCTTTACCAGGTTGTGGGTTGGTTCTCCGGGTTTGTTCAACCCCTTTACTTGTTCCAGCTTCCTTTGAAACTTCAGTTGCTTTCAAGTTCTCATTTGCTGCTACTGTGCTTCATTATGTCTTTGGTTCTTCTGCTACATTGTGCCTCTCTTCTTCTAGCTTCTTTGGAGACTTTTGCTGGGGTTTGTTCTTCTTCCAATATCTTACTTCCTCATGGCCAAACTTGTGGCAATATTTGCATATAGTAGGTTTCCAGTCATAGTGTACTCTCTGTTCCACTAGGCTTCCCTTCTCATTCCTGAAATACACCTTCTCAGGTAGGCTCATATCAATATATACTTCAATCAATAGTCTAGCAAAGTTAAGCCCCATCTTTTTCTCAGTATTTTGGTCCACCATCAGCAGCTTCCCAATCAAACTCCCAATTTTACTAAGTCCCTTAGGGCTCCAATATTTGAAGTCCAAACCTGGCAGTTTCACCCATATTGTTACTGTGTATAGCTCTTCTCTAGTGAATTCCATATCCGGACTCCAAGCCTTTACAGTGAATGGCTTGTTGTCAAAGTGGTATATACCTCCTTGCATTACCTCATTCTTACCCAATTCTGTATCAAATCGTACTAATACAATACCATTTCTTAGCATCACTACTTTATTAATGCCATGCTTTGCCCACTGCCTTTGTATATATCCATTCAATACCGTGAATGGAGGATGTGCCCCCCAATACATAGCATACCACTGCATTTTTCCAGTATGTTATTTCAGTGCTTATGTCCTCTATGTCAATTTCACAAACAGGTAACTCACCATGCTTTTCTGGTTCAACAAAGTCAAGTTTGAACCCTGCGTTTGAGACCTTGGTAATGTCGAAATTATCCCAAATTGAGCTCTTCGTTGTCACCTAAACTGATGCTTCCACCTCCTCTGCCCATGTCATCCTTCGATTACTATTTGCACTTTGATTTGGGGTTAATTTCTCAGCACTCTGTAGATCTACTGTTCCATTGCTTTGGTCTGTGATTCCTTCAATTGCTGCTTCGCTCGACATTTGCATGTTGTCCTTTGTTCCTTTTGGCTGAGATCCTTTCTTCCTTTGGTGATTTCCTCCATATGATGCAGTTTTCTGGTCCATTAATGCCTTCTGCGAGGAATCCACACTCTCTTTTCTATGGACGACGCAAGTAAGGCTACATGTGCAGTGAGAGAAACATATTCCGCTCAAGAGAAACATTTTTTAGCAACGAAATGTTTGATACTAGAAACGAGAAATGCAAACACTTTTGATAAACTTAAAGGATCAAAAGTGATAAAGTATATATTTGAGAGACTATTTTGAACATACCTAAAAGATAAGTAAACAACAACAACAACAACAAACCCATTTTGATCCCAACATATGGGGTATGGGGAGGATAGTCTGTACGCAGACCTTACCCCTACCTAATGCAGGTAGAGAGGTTGTTTCCAATAGACCCTCGGCTCAGTAAGGGCAAGAAGAAAAAGAGGGAAGCAAGGAAGGAAAACAGTATCCAATAATAGCAACACGGAATACAATACCTGAGGCGAACAAAGCCACATGCCGTAATAAAAAGCAAAGAATATGAAGGGAAATGCATGCTACTAAACCTATCCGTGAACACTATAAACTACCTACTAACCTTCTACCTTAATCCTCGACCTCCACACCCTCCTATCAAGTGTCATGTCCTCAGTAAGCTGAAGCAGCGCCATGTCCTGCCTAATCACTTCTCCCCAGTACTTCTTAGGCCTATCTCGACCCCTCCTCAAACTCTCCATGGCCAACCTCTCACACCTCCTGACAGGGGCATCAATGCTTCTTCTCCTAACATGTCCGAACCATCTCAGCCGCGACTCCCGCATCTTGTCCTCCACGGAGGCTACTCCCACTCTGTCCCGGATAGCTTTATTCCTAATTCTATCTCGCCTGGTACACCCACACATCCATCTCAACATCCGCATCTCTGCTACTCTCATCTTCTGCACGTGGGAGTTCTTGACTGGCCAACACTCAGCCCCATACAGCATAGCGGGTCGAACCACCACTCGATAAAACTTACCCTTAAGTCTTAATGGCACATTCTTATCACATAGAATATCGGAAGCGAGCCTCCACTTCATCCACCCCGCTCCGATGCGATGTGTGATGGCAAAATGGTTAAAAGAAAACAGTTAACCACCCATATTATCCACTAAAAAATGGGTTGGATAATGAACTTTTTAAAAACGGGTCAAATATGGATAAGAACCATATTATCCATTTAGAAAATGGATAACTAATGAGTAACCATGGATAACCAACGGGTCTAAGTTTTACATTTGTAAAAGCCTCAAATTGGGGGTTCTTCAAGTTAGGGAGACTAAAAATTCTCCCAAAAGTGATCATATGCAAGAAGTCATGGATAATATGATTATCCATATTATCCGCCGGTTAACCCGTTTTTTATCCGTATTAAATATGGGTCAGGTCGGATAATTGATCCGCTTTTTCATTACCCGTTTTCGACCCGAACCATATCCGACCCGACCCGCCCGTTTGCCACTCCTAAAGATAAGTGATTATTTTTGTCATTTTCCCCGATTTCACATATTTCACGCAGCTCTCTTTAAAAGAGAGTCTTGACACTTTGCCCCCACTTGTCTTTTTTTCTTTTCACAGCCCCTACCAATCCTACTAAACACTTTATTTTCTTCATATATAATTTAATTTTCAGTTCCTTCAAATTTGATTTATTAAAGAACTATTTTACTTTGTGAGTTGTGACTAAGAGAACTAGTCATAAATCATAATAGGTTTTCTAGTGTTTGGCATTTTAGATTTGTGTGTCTCACTTCCACGACCATTCTCTTTAACCTCGTAGATTGAGTGTGGTCCCATAATCTGGTTTGATCAATGGATTGTTATTGTCTTATTTTTCTTTTTATCAAAGTGCTTGCATTTCATTTTCATATGAAAATGAATATAATAATTCAATTGAGAAGATTTTTACTAAAATACTACCCAACAGGACACCTGACCAAGCTTAAATTATCACTTGCAAAAATAGCACGTTCTTTTCTATTGTAATGCCTTTTTTTAAAATAAAAAAATCTTCCATATGAAGAGTTTAATATCTAGGAACGGGAGTTTATTACGTAAATGGTCACTCAATTATTCAAAATTATCTAGTAAAGTCATATTTCTTTCGTTTGTAACAGAAAAGTCGAACTTTTGATTATCAAATACATTTTTTTATCCTCTAAATTATCAACTTTTAACTTCTTCCTCTTTTTTGTTTAACTTTTTTAATATTATGATTTTTTTCTCTTTTTAATCTACATTATGAACTTACCTATAGAACAAATAAATTTATTTATAAAATAAAAAATAGAAAGTTAATTTTCTAGCATATATAATGTCGGAATGATAATATAATTGAGCATAATATTCAAGAATATATAATGTATATCATAAAATACCTTATTTTAAATAATTATTTTTATGCTACGTGCATGAAATATATATTATTAAAATTTTATTTTCTTTCATTCTCAATTGTGTAAATAAATTTTTGTGTATTTAATATCATATTTTTTATTACAAAAAAATTGTTCTAACTACTTTTTTTTACTATGCTCAATATTTTATTATTCCAGCATCATATATGCTTAAATACTATTTTTATTTTTTTAATTTATAAATAAAATTTATTTATTCTATATATAGGTAAGTCCATAATATAAATTAAAAAGAGAAAAAATTATAATATTAAAAAGAAAGAAAATAAAAGGCATACAAAAGTTGATAATTTAGAGGGTAAAATAAGTATTTGACGATCAAAAGTTTTAGAAATCTAATTGAGTGACCTTCTAAGTGCTATATGCATAGTTAAGTGACTTTGTTGTTACAAACGAAAGAAAAATAAATTTAGTAGATAATTTCAGATAGTTGAGTGACCATATGAGTAATGAAGTCCTAGGAATTGGCAGAGTGGTAAATCACTCTACTTCTAAGTAGGGCTATCAATATGGGTCGGGCCGGGTTAGCCCAACCTAGCCCACGTAGGCTTTAACAATTAACGCGTTGGACTGGGCTAGCCCACCATATTGATGGGTCTTATAATACAGCCAACCCCAGCCATATGTGGGCCATGGGCCCCACGGGCCGGCCCATTATTTTTTAAAATATAAATTTATATTTTTTCTTTAAGTTCTAACCTAAAAAAAGATAAATATTTAAAAGTTAAAAATATCTTATCGGAAAAATTTCGAAAAACTCAATAACTTTTTATATTGTTCCAATATATCACAAAAGTATAAGACAAGACTATATTTCATTCACTAAAAGTTAAAATCAAAATAAACTATTCCAGAGAACATTCATGACGCTTATGGGATATCCATCACATCATCTTAACCAGAGGTCTCGAGTTCGAGCCCTGGGTATGGAAAAATCCTTGGTAGGGAGTGCTTCATCCCGAATGGGGCCCTACGCGGCGCGAATTCGGATATAGTCGGGCTCCAATGCGGGTACCGGACACCGGATGGGAAACCAAAAAAAAAAATCACATCATCTTCATCAAATACATTTGGATCGGCTTATGACAAGGTTGTCTTAACATCTTCACTTCATCTACATCTACAATTCATATGCAATATTAATTAGTTGAACACTAAGAACAATTAAATTTTAAAAACTAAGAATATTTAAATTCACATAAAAAAAATTTACCACTTTGAGATTGGGAAAAGCTTGCAGCCAAATTCGAGTAGTAACAAATATTTGGACATTTTCATGATTGATGCAACCTTACTTTGTCGGAACACGTCCACCAATGCTAAATGTTGATTCCGATGCTACAGTGGTAATAAGAATACTAAGTACATCACGCGCTATCACTGAAAGATCAGGATATTTTCTAGAATGGTCCTTCCAGTACATGACAACATCCATCTCTTGAAACTTGTCAAGATGAAGCTTTGGTTCCTCTAAATAAAGATCCAATTCTGACTTTCCATCGCTAGAAGCAGTATGCTATCTATATTTTATATATTTTAAATAAATATTTTTATTAGGCCCACAGGCCCGCCCAGCACAGCCTCACAGGTTACGGGCTTACTCGGTCCGGGCTTAAAGCCTCATTTTTAAATGGACTCTAAAAATTCTAGCCTAACATTGCTGGCCCAACGGGCTGACCCAACGTGCTGAGCATATATTGACGGCTCTACTTCTAAGTTCTAACTAGTAAATCTATATTATTATAAAAGCATGAATACAATGTCGGTTTACAAAACTAACCTTATAATATTAAGGCATAATAACTCATAATAAAAGGACGTAACCGGAATTCTAGATATTAGCCTTATAATCCTATTAGTTTTAGGACATAATTGGATAAAACAAAACTAACCTTATAATATTAAGGCATAATAACTCATAATAAAAAGACATAACCGGAATTCTAGATATTAGCCTTATAATCCTATTAGTTTTAGGACATAATTGGATAAAATTTTAGATTTTAGATAGTAATACCCCTTAAGTTCGAACTTCTTAGCTATTTGCGATATTCTTTTCTACTTGTATTGAAATTTTAAAGGCAGTCCAATCTCACAGGGACAAGAACTTTTACTTATGTTGAAATTCTTGAACCATTCCAATCTGACTAGGAGAAGAACAATTCGAAGCTTCTGTTGTTTGTGTATATAAAGCGTTTTCTTTATTTTGAACAAGTAAAAGTATTGAGAATCTTTAATCAGTTCCTACCATGATTAAATTCCAAATTTATACCCGCTATGAACAAGCAGTACCTATGAATGTTGGAATGTTAGTCTTTCTATAGACTATAGGCAATTTAATTTCCCTCAACACGTGAATTTTCTTTCAAAGATTAATCTTGTACGGTATTTTCTTTGATGTTGTAACAACTATAGTGAATTTTGATTTATTCTCTTCAATATTTTTGTTCCTAATTTGAATGAAGGACCCACTGTAATTACATATACTTCTAAGAGTTAATTGAGCCACTCCGCTGATATTTTTTGGATATCTGGAATCCAATCTTCAAAGCATATGTTAGGTAAGTTTCTACGTCTTTATGTTCTTTTTACCTTATATTTAGTATTCAAATTAATAACTATTATGTGAGTAGTATTGCAACTGATTTTATATTCGCATTGTACATGTTTGTACATTTAAAATCCAAACATATCCAGAACATATAGTTTTGTTGCATTGATTCAAAGTCATCCTGCTTGGTGCCTTTTATTTTTATTTTATTTTTTAATTCTTCATCTCTTATTATGTTTTAATTTGGTATTCGTCTGACCTTCTATGCTAATTTTTAATATGTAAGATTTTAAATTAGTAAAAGTTTGTCTATTAAATTCTTATTAAAAATATGTAGGAAGGTTTAATAAAATCAATGTCATAAGAATTCTTCGTGTTGTACGACTAAATAATGTCCAATACGAAGAAAAAATAAAGTAATATTAAATGGACTGCATAAAGAGTTGAAATTGAGAAAAAAATATCCCCATGATAACATATTTTTATTTTATATTTGAACTATTTTTCTACTCAAATAACATTTTTTTAATCAATTTTTCGTGTAATATTAAATAATACCCAATTATTAAACAATAACTAAGAAAATATTTAAGAATATAAATGTGTAAGAAAGAGAAAAAAATAGTTAATAAGAGTCAATACCACTAATGATTCTACAAACATAAAGATCTAAAAGTGAAATGTCATATCAATCTTTTACTCTTTGAAAATTTATGGTGGATAAAATTATAATTCAGATTAAATATTCAAAACAAGAGATGAACTAATATTAAGATCTGAATCAACATAGCATAAATTATTTTTTATGTTAAAATTAAGTAATTAAATCTTTTAATTAAATTTTTAGCACAAGAATTCAATTTTTATTTTTTAAATTCATCATATGAGTAAAATTTTTGTTCAAGTTAAAAAAATCTTAGGGCATATAAATTTATTCCATAAAAAGAGCGTTAGAACACAAAGTTAAAAGGTTAGTATATTATTAAGAATCAAAATGCTATACAAGTGTCTGAAGAAGCACAATTAGCTAAATCCTAAACAAGAATAAGCTTTCAAGACTATATTATAAAGAGTCGACTCTGGTATAACAGGATTATTCTTTGTAGATACCCTTCGGCGGAATCGAAATAATATTTCAGTGTCATGAATTACTTGCAAATACCATATCAAGAGGCATGACACTGTTAGCAATAATAGCAAGTGGTGTACCAACAATGATTTTATTGTGAGGCCACCCACTTTAGATTTGATATACCTCTTCAAACAACGTAAATAACCATCACAAATATATCAAAGCAGAGCAATGGTGCTAAATTTATAAGGAAAGCAAAATTGATAATATGGGATGAAGCACTTATGGCTAAGTGTCAAACGATTGAAATAATTACGGAGTTCTAGAGATATATTGGATATTAATGAACCGTTGGTGAAAAATTAATGGTTTGGGAGGTAATTTCTGTCAAGTAGTACCAGTAGTTCCAAAATCGACAAAAGTTGAGACTGTAAAAGCTAGCTTGCCAAAGTTATACTTCTCGACTCTAACGAAAAAAATTCAACTGACAAAAAATATCAAGTAAGAACAGATCCAGTATTCAATGTCTTCTTGCTTCGTGTCGCGAACGAAGAAGAGCATCCAATAAAATATGATTTGGTTATTCCTGAATACTTGGTTATCAATCTCAATAGTAATAGTAGTGCATTTAACAAGAGAAATATTTCTATCATTAGATTTTGTACAAATCGCATGATAGAATCAAAAAGATATCTTAGCTAGCAAAAATGAATATGTTGATCAACTAAATAAAAGGTTGATTGCAAAAATTTATAGTAAAAACAAAATATTTTTCAGTATTTGACTCAACAGAAAATGATAACAATAATTACAACCTAGAAGATACTTAAATACTTTAATACCAAATGGTCTTTTACCATACATTTTGTTGTCAAGTTTCTTATTTCTTATGTATGTTAGTGTCACCATATATATAATAGACTAAGTTAAAATTGATCTTTCATTGTATATAGGTTAATTTTGAAGAAAAAATATGCCTGTCATGCTACTGAAAAACTTAGATACGCCGAATAGCTTATGTAATAGCACACATATGGTACATAGAAGTTTTGACAATAATGTCATAGATGCAAAAATTATGATACTGGTTAATGTGCTTCTAAATATATTCTAATCCCTGAATTGAACTTTCGTCTTCCGAAACTAAGCAATATCCTTTTAAGTTTGTGTGAAAATAATATTTAGTATGGTTATGTTTTGCACTAATAAATAAAGCATAAGGACAAACATCCTAAATATTGGACTATATTTACCGCAATGTGTTTTCTTGCACGAACAACTGTATGTTGCACTTTCAAGAGGGATATCAAGATCGACAACAAGAGTTTTGGTTAAGGTAGAGCAACCAACGCATTAGGAGGAAACATACATAAAAAATATTGTCCACAAAAAAGTATTTGTTAAGATACTATCACATTAAATGCGTTTAAACTATAATATATAATTATCTAACTGACATGACAAAATTGATCGTTTGTGTAAGTCTTGATGATGTCCTTTTATTTTAAATTTATGTATTATGCTAATGTAATAATATTTTTCAGCATTTAGATGATTATTGTATTATTATACATAAAAAATTTCTCTAATTAATTAAATTTTATTATTTCTTCATATAAATAGATATTTAAATCATCACGTGTTATTATTAACGTGCAACGCACGTTTGTAGATACTAGTTAAGAATAAAAATCAGACTGGAACCAAATGTTGTCTTTTCCCTTTAGCTTTTCTCTTTAGCTTTCATTCTTTCTTAAGAATCAGGGTATCTTGATGCCGCCATCTGTCTTGACTCCATTTGTTAGTGACACAAATAAAAACCAAAGAAACCTCAATTTACATAAATTCTTCCTTCTATGATAAGAAAGAAGCACACCTTTTATATAATATCCCTACGACCCTTCACTTCCATTTGCAAGTTAAAACATATGACCACTCGATTTTTTCTTCAAGAAAAAGGCTTTTATTTGTTAGCGATTCCGTACAAAATGGCTGCTAATGATCAAGAATCCAGAGTTTCCCTGAAGCTTTTGATAGATGACAAGAAAAATAGAGTCATTGCAGCTGAATCCAACAGGGATTTTGTGGATATATTATTCAGTTTTCTCACTTTTCCAATTGGAACAATAATCAGATTAACCAACAGCCAGCCAATGTCAAAGATAAGTCCAACTTCTACTTGTTTGAACAATTTATACCAAAGTGTTGAAAATCTTCGTGTAAAACATCTTTATTCAGAAAACTGTAAGTCAGTCCTTTTAAATCCAAGAAATCCATGCAATGAAGATTGCTTCAAGTTGAAAGTGAACATAGATGATTCTGTTTCCAACAAGTACTTCAAATGTTCTAATAAAGATTGCTCATTAAAGAACTGGTTGCTCAATGTTAATTGTTATTGTGGAGGGAGGACAACTAAGGAGATATTTTCAGAAATAAGAAATCCAACAAGTGATTGTTATGGTGCTTTTCTGAGGAGAGGAATAGAGTTTATAATCAGTGATGATTTAAGAGTGTTGCCTGGTTCTCCAAGTTCTCTTGTAAAACTGCTTTCTGAGCTTGGCTACAGCAACATGAATCAGATAAAAGAGATGTCTGTGGAAGTTGGCAAGGAGGAGGTAAGAATCTTGATTTTTCTATTATTGTTAGTTTCTATTATTGCTAGATTTTGAATAAGCAGGCTAGAGTAATGAATCCGTGCAGACCTAGCTAAAAATAGCGCACAATGAAAGAAAAGTATCTATATAGACATGCCAATTAGTTGGGATTAAGTTTTAGTATGTTTATTTTAGGTCTTATGATTTCTAGGAGCCTTTTAGTCAAGTCAGTAGAAAATATAGAGAACTTCCGGTACTTTTTATTTTTATTTTGCATAATATTGGACTAAGATGAACTTAAATGGAGCGACATGGTCGGTGAAGATTCACGTAGCCAATGACCTAGTTGTTGTTTGCTGTTGTTATCTAGAGTAATTAGCTTGGGTTCTTGATCATATTATTTGACTGAAGTAGCTAACTTAAAGAGATGATATAAGAAATAGGCATAGCAGATGTAGCACAGCAGAATGTGGAAACATGGTATGTCAGTTTAAGAATGAATGTTTTCTGTAATATATGCACCATCCCTTTGAGAAGAACAAGCACATATTGCAAATTTTTGATACTAAATTATCTCAAAGTACCTTCAGATGAGGGGTAATCTTTGAATAACAAGGTACAAAAAAACAGTTTAAGATGTTCAATCTTATAGAACGGGAAAAAAAACTAAGGAGGAAATTGATTCAGGAAATAAATTGCAACTCAGGTAATGTATTACAAACTCTTATGCAGTTTCGTGCTAGGAATTCCCTCTTCTTCTTTTTGATGTTATCTAATGTGCATTTTACTCGTTTTTCTCTGTCCAGATATTAAGACTGCTCGCTTGTTCATTGATCTCAAAATCTCCCTTGACAGAGGTGTTTTTGAACAAGAAAGCTAGTATAGTTGACAACAATATCATGCCTGAGCCAGGAATTTCACCATTGGTTCCTAATGAATTCCAGTACACCGGAAACTCCTGGAAAATAAACCTGAAGCTAATATTAAACAAGTCTAGAAACAAGATATTGTATGCTGAAGCAAATGATTCATTCGTCGATTTTCTCTTCAGTTTCCTCACTTTTCCTATTGGATCAGTGATCCATGTTCAAAATGGGATTTCTGGACTTGGATGCATAGACAACTTGTACAAAAGTGTGACGGATTTGGAGTCAAAATGGTTTCATTATTGTCAGCACAGATTACTCAACCCCAGCGTTGCACCAAGACATAAATGCCAGAATCAGTTGCTTCCGATTTCTGTGGGACTCGACAATCATAGCCTTTTAGACCCCAGGTGCACAAGTGGTGGCACAAGTGATTTTGGCAGATTAACACTGTCACCTTCCTTGTTTATTGTTTCGGACGATTTGGTAGTCAGGCCTATGTGTTCTACATCAAGTTTTGGCTTACTCAAAGAACTAAATGCACCCTTGTATGACATTGAAGAGCAAGTAATCTCCATTGATAAGGCAGAGGTAATTTCTGGACTCAGATTAAAAGCTAAAAATACATTGCTTTAATCCAATTAAAGAAAATGATAACATGGTTTCTATGACAGGCACAGCTCTTGCTGCAGGCAGCTTTTATCGGGTCATCATCTGCTTTAACACTTGCCTTGAGCTCTTTCTTGAATAAACAGAAACAAGAGATGGACTAATATGCTACAAACTACAAGAGCAGCTTGGCTTGGTGGCTATGTCATACTGTTCTATATTATATTATCTGCTTAATATTTGGATTGAGACGAGTTTAAATGGAGCAGCATGGAAAGCGAAGACTAATAAAGTTGATTCTATATTTCTTTAGATTGAGGCATTGTTGTTGTTTGTATTGCCTACTGAACAAGCTTTTACTGCCCTGCTAGTTCAATTAAATGAGGTGAAATTAGATGGTGATGCTAGCAATTTGAGTGCTCTTATAAAGTGTCTTTGTGATGCAACACACATATTTGATGATATTATGACTTTGTTACTATTTTCTGAGATATTCACAACTATAGAGGAACAAATAATGTTCCCCTGGTTCAATTCTTATCAAGTCTCTGATATCTCTGTCTTTTTTTATTTGTGGTTCATTTCCCCAACTCTGTTAGATTTAAATAATTTTGCACCTCTCATCTTTTATTGTAAATTATTTCATCTTTGATAAGTCTCTTCCAAATATTCTTTTTCAACCTCAACTTAATCTTTTTTTTAAACTTCAACCAAATATTATTTTTGATAATTAAAATTTTTTATTTACCAGGGAAAATTAAGTAGGCATTTGGACATAAAAATTGTAATTTTTGAAGAAAAAAAAAATAGTATTTGGAGTTAAGTTGAAAAATGGTATTTGGAATTTGAAATTATGTTTGGACATGCATTTCACTTGAAAAATGTTGTATTTTTGTGAGTGGGGAAAAAATATTTTCTGAAAATTTTGAAAAAGTGGTCACAATCACTTTTTGGTTTTTGAAAAACTCATTTCTGAATAAATTCCAAAAACTTGCAAAATTTTGTAGACAAACACATTTTTGAATTTTTTTTTTGAAAAAAAGGTATTCTTTTTTTTTTTTTTTTTGAGAAAAGAGGCTTAATTGATCACGTCCAACTATGCCTTATAAAAAGGACAATGCGGTCGTTGCAAATATAATCTGAGTATTGTGCCCAGAGTCGAATCCACAGAGAATTAACCTATCAATCACTGTCTTTAGACCTACTAAACTCTTTAGAATCAATTCCCCAAACGTTGAGAATCACAGTTGATGGTGTTTTTAATAACTAAGATCAACAGTAACTAATAGCTACAAATTAAAGATGCTAAGCTGTAAACAATAATGAGAAAGTGCTAAGGTAATGATTTCCCCTATTGATGGAATTCCTTCTGTTTATGCTTCATACAAATTTACCAACACATCTCTATTAATCATGAACGCTCTTCTTACCGTAAATCTCTCCCGAGTAATCACAGTAATTTACTAGTTGCACTCTCCCGAGATACACTAGCTTGCTTTATTTAACACAATTCACTTTAGATTACACCCAAGGCTTCGTTATCCCTAATCCCGCCTTTAAACCCTCGGTTATTGATCCCTATATACTTTGGGAGTGGTGTTGTTCAACAATTACCTAAATATGCACTCTCTCCCGAGTTATGCACACTAAATAGGCACAGCTAATTGAGGATCCTGTCAATTAACTACAACAAACACATAGTTGAACAAATAGAGATTGGAACTAGCAATTTGTATTCACATAAACAAGAAGTTCATCCCCCAATAGGTTCCATCAAAACCTTAGACAAAGGATTTAGCTACTCATAACTATGGGTAAACAAACTAAAACAATATTCATCATAAAACTTGCAATAAAAATCAAAGAAAAGAAGAAAGATGTTTTGGGTGATCTCTCACAATTGTTTTCCTTGCTAAAATATTCTCCAATCCAATTCTTCCTCCTTTGGGCGAAGTCTAGTATTTAAAATAGGATTTTGGGCTAAAAATTCCGTGTTTTGCACTTAAGTCCCTGAACTCTTCCGCCTCTGCCGTGGTTCTGCCGCGATCGCGGTCAAACCGCGGCCACACACCTTCTCTGAATCTCAACTTATCCGCGACCATCTTCTACCGCGGTTCTGCCGCGGTCGCGGTGGAACCGCGGCAGTCCTTCTTCAGGCTTGGCTTGAGCTGTTTCGCTTGGTTCATTTGGCAAAATTTTACGATTGGCCTCTTTTTCTCCATATTTGATCCCAAAAGTACTCCATAGCCTTCTCTTGTCATATATCACCTGCAAAGCATGAAAAGCACTAATCAGAGCATTTTGTTATCACTTTTATCATCAAAACTATACAAGAAGGTGGTTCTTTAGGACCTAATTATAGTTAAATTCACCTATTATCAACACCCCACACTTAAACCTTTGCTCGTCCTCGAGCAAGTTAAACCACACTTCTAGGCCTAACCATTGGATGCATTGCCCCGAGTTTATGCTATACCCGCCATTATGAACGAATAACCTAAGCATTGCAACAGTCACACTCAGATGCAGACTCTAACGCCGTGACACACTCGTGATTACTCTAGTTACTCTAACAGTGGTAAAAACTCACTTTTTCTTCCTGAGTCACATGCCCTCACATCACAAATCTGAGAGAAGTTCCACACACAATAAATTAAGCAACAAGGAACCATAGATAGACAGAATTCACTCACTCTCAGCAAAGAACATTCACATGCCATACAGATACACCATAGGCTTGCCCCTCGTGTAATACTATACTAATCGAGCTGTTCAGTCAAAGATCAAAAGATCTTTATTTGGTTGTAATGTCGGCTAAGGGACGGGTAGGATATATTTGGATATAGTGACTAACCTCCCTAAGCACTTTTAATACAAACTTCCTTTTGTTTCAATTTTCATGTTCAGCCCAATCGTTCTTCCACATTTTGTTTCATATTTGCCCCCCACTTTTCTTTAGGTGCACTGGCCTTTTTCTCTTTTCTTTTCTTTTTTTTTTTTTTCTTTCTTTTCTTCATCTCTCTCTTTTTTTAGCTGCCATTGCACCATTCAAGCATTTCTTTCCTGATTCCCCTTTTTTCCACTCCCCTACTACCCTACACTTTGACTTTTGTATGTTCTTTAATAATTCAAGTGCTTCTAAAAGGTACAGGTTCAAATAATCAATTTATTCAAACACAAGGATATAGGTCATTATAGGGTAATCAAAGAATAGGCTTCAGGCTCAAAAGGGGTTAACTATGGCAATATATACAGGTGGATTCACAATTATATAGGCTATACAAAGAAGTGCCTCAATCATCTCTAAAACCAAACAACTTCTATTTCGCTTTGCAAACACACAGGGCAAGTTCTAGGTATCACATGCAAGCACAGAATGCAAGTAATAACTCACACACACTTGGCATGTAACTCATTCCGAATCAGTTTATCAACACACTCATACGAGCGTTCAAGCAAGACAAGATGTGCAAAATTAAGGCATCAAAGTATGAGTCTACAAACGAGACTAGACGTCGCACCCTCAGTTCGTTTTTGTTATTCTCAGGTGTGTACATCTAGGGCTGCATTCTAGCCTTCACCCATCTTGGTCCTAAAACTACAAAAGAAAAATCTACCTAACCCGGTTCAAGAAAAGCCCTTGGAAAAGAACCGTGGTCAAAAGAAAAACCAAGGGAGAATTACTACACTACCTAAAAAAAAAACAAAGAAACTACATGGACTACTTCCCTCAAGAGTACTGTCCAAGTGGTCCGTCCTTAGGAAGTGTCCTCTACAATTTTTTTTTTGTTTAGATTCGACTATGACCCTCAAGAGACTTGTCGACAAGTGTCCGTCGTTGGGCCAAGTCAATTACTTCTAATGTGAGTACAGTCAATTATACACAACAACATCAATCTAATATTACAACATACTCAATGTCTATATACACTACAATACACTACCAGAGTAAGTCTCCCACCCCACACTTAAAAATATGGCATGTCCCCATGTCATATCAAAAATAAAGAACAGAAGGGTAAGAAGACTTCCTTGAGCATCAATCGGAGTCTGAGACGGTGCTGGGGTCGACATGACAAGCTTTCCTCAAAGCGCGGAACCAGGCCATAAACCGGCTCTGAGATCTGGACTGCCGCTGCGACATGGCATCCATACGTGTGTGTAAGCCCTCTACCGAGGTGCGAAGATCCGCGACCTCTTCCTCCATAGTACGCAGCATAGAGCGGGTGGACTGTGATCTGGATAAGCCTGTTCCAGCGTGGGGCTGCCGAGAGGGTCCGGCACTATCATAGGATCTCCTTGATGGTGCCATGGCCACTGGGTCATCATCCTCATCATCGATCTGAATGGTGGTGCGTGCACCCCTGCCCACTCTGATGCCCGAAGCTTTGAAAGCCGCTTTCTATGGCAACTCTCCATCAGTAGGATTAGTGGGGACATTCCTCATCAGGCACAATGTAGTTACCAAGGAAGGGAAGTAGAATCCCTTTGACCGCAGCGGGGACCGTATGATCATTTCATCACCAATTAGTTTTGCCGCATCAAAATCTTTCTTTGTGACGAAGCACCATGTCAAGAGGGCTCTTTGGAAGTTCACGTCAGTCGTATTGCCTGAGGGCAAGAACCTGCTGGCGATAACAGTGAGCCAACACTTGGCCAAATGGGTGAAAGAATTGGAGTTCGGGGTGATATGGTCACGTATCCAGGTGGGTTGCCCCCTGTGCAGAGTACATCAGTCATAGTCTCCCAAGTGACTCCTGGAGCGGCCTGGTAATAGTCGGTGTCACCAGTAAATCCAGGCAGCCGCAACACCTGGCGAATAGTTGCAACTGAGGCATCAACCACCGTGCCCCTCACAATCACCTTCCGCACCATTTGTGCCGGGCAGTTGGCGTAGAACTCTCTTACAATCATCCTGTTCACCGGTGTAGGTTCGTCAAATAAGAACTCCATTTCCCTCCTCCGGATCTCTTCATACATCTCTTCCTTCTCCGCCTGGATGGCTGCCCTGTCAATCTGAATCTCAGGGATGAAGCTCTTTGAGGCCTTGGCATGAAAGTCGTCCTCCGCCAATTCTGATTCGAACCTGGAGTCATCATATGTGGGCTGTTGGGATGTGCCCGCCGATCTCTTTTGCTTCTTATGAGCCATATTACCTGCAAAGAATTCAGAAGAACATCAAATGCATCCTAAGTAGTGCCAGTCGGATGGGTACTCAGACTTCGCCACCCGATGGCATCAACCTTAGCCTCCCATTTATTTCTGCCTTTCAAACTATCACAACTAGCAGGGTGTTGAAAGTTACAACCCCTACACTGGCTCTCACAACAGTACTAACTCACAATATTCGGCATACAACACCCTACACTGACCCCCTCCAGTGGTTTACGTCAATTACAGCACAATCATTCGCCAAATACAACACCGTCATTCACCCAATACAACACCATCACAACCTAATACAACATCATCATACACCCAATACAACACCATCACAACCTA